CTCTCCTGAGAGAACTCCTTTCTCCCTTTCTCAAAAGGTGTTATTTTAGGCACTTGTGGGAAACTTTGTATTTCTTTAGTGTCTACCATAATAGAGTGCACTTCCCCTGTGGTCATGAACTCTGTAATCTCTAATTCCTGAGTAAGTTTTGCTGTGGTGGATCATCAGTAACCACCCTAAAGTGATGAAGAGAGGACAGTGGCAGAGATCAGGCCTGGGAACTGGAATAGGAGGAAGCGTACCATCGTGGTTACTAGGGGGAAGGAGGTTCTCTTTTCTCAATTCTTCCTCAAAAATACTGAAAAGATCTGATTAATGAGTCAGTGACAGAGTGACAGTTGGTTTGTGGGTGAGAGGCCAGTAAGAAAGAGGGAACAATGATTTTAGAAAGTTAGAACATGGATAGAAGAAAAGGAAATGGCTACAACAGGCTCTAGTACATGAAAGTTGGAGACTCATGTGTTACATATATGTCACATGTGTGTGTCGTGTATATAAATTTCACTATGTATACACATGTGGGCTGTTTTAGTACAGTTTGCTTTTTTGACTCTTATTTGATTGACATCATAGGAATTATATTACTCTAGTTCTTTGTCTAGGAAGAGAAAATAATACGTGAATACCAATTTTTACATGTTATTTTTTTCTTTTAACATGAATACACATAAGATGTAGGTCACGATAAGTCTATTTGAGAGTGTGTACAGGAACTTGGGAACTTCTAAAATCAGTGCCAAGTTTCAACTGCCCCTTTAAATACACTAACACAAAAGCAGTTTTAAAGCTGACCTTTGAATGAATAATCTAGTTTATGAGTCAGTGAAGATTGGAGTGAATATCTTAGACCAGTTGCATTGTAACCTGGCATCCATCCAAAGTTATTGCCTTCAGAAAATGATGATTTGTCCCTGAACTCTTGCACCACTGTCCTCTCTCTCTCTTTCAAATTGGTTAAAAACTTGTACCATCTTTAAGTAGAGTAGCATTAAAAATCGATGAAATCTTATGCCTTGAGATAATGTTATATAGTCTCTGTACTGCCCTGACATTTGAATTTTTTGAAGACTTTTATCCTGAAATATTATTCTGCCCATTTCTCACTGTCCTTTCAGTGTGGTTTAATGCAGGCTGTTCTTGAAACCATTTGAAGTGAGTGAAGGGTTTTGAGGGGTGGTTACTTCAGAAAAATTGGCATTTCAAAAAGATGTGTTTTTCCCTCAATCTCTGTTGATGTTTGAAGTCTTCAAAGTGTTGATATGATCAGAGAAAAACATTTCTTGTGAAATGGTTCTCTCTAAGAACGTGGTGATTTGAGACAGACTGGCTGTTGATTCACATCATCTTTTCTAGAAGAATCTGTTTTCACAGAATGTGCCTTGCTAAGACCTAGGGCTTGAAAATTTTGTCTTCAGTTCAGAATATATAAATATAAAATTAATCTAGCTTTAAAAATGGTTAAAAATCAATAAAATGAAGTATTTCTTGAAATATGTTTAGGCTATAAAGTTTCTTGTTCACTACTCATAAGTAACCCTGTTAGATTAGAGAGAGATTCTAATTGCAGCTGTTACCTACAAATACATGGGAAGTGAATGCTAGGGGACATGACTCTCAATTTTCTTTTTTAAAAATATATTTAATTATTTATGCATACAAGAACTGGGTTCTAGGCCAGAGGTGTGGGGGGTGAAAGGATTCACCAGAGAAAGAGTGGGGAGCAGAACAGGTGGGTCTGCTGAAATACACTGCTGAGGGGAGCAGCGGGCGAGACAGGAGAGGTCTGCCCCGCCATGTGGGTTAGCTCCCGGGCCAGGGATCGAACTCATGCTGCATTGGCTGGTGATAACTTGATAGCATTGAGGCTTTAACACCTGTGCCACCAGGGAGACCCTGACTCTATACTCCTTCAGTTAATTATTTCAAGTCTACCTTTGTATATAAAATTATAGCAAAACTGGGGAGGGAAGAGCACAAGGGGCTCTGGTGATGATCATGGGTACTATGGTGGTGGGAGACCTATGGGGACTACACCTGAGGGGAGAAATAAAATACTGTCCAAAAACTAACAAAGATGTAAGAAAATTAAAAAAAATAGTAAATTTATATGAAATAACAAGCACTTACTTTTGGGGGAAAATTGATCAAGTCAATCAAACAAAAAAATTGTAGTGAAATATTTATCTCAAACAATCCTAATGGTTTGACTCCAGAAGTTGTGGTAGTATTTATCATGCCCTTTCTTTGAGCTTGGAACCATGCTAAATGATTTTCATGAACTAGGTTATTTAATTCTTACACCATTCTTTTGAATATTGCTGTTGTCATCTCTGTTGTACACGTTTGGAAACTGAAGCTTAAAGAGATAATGTAGTTTGGCAGAGCCAGGATGCGAACTGGCCTCTGGACACAAAGCCCATGGCCTTCACCTTTATATTTGTTTATTTGAAAAAGCATGGGGCTCTGATTGGACAAGTTTTTCCCACTTCATACTTGAGAAACCTAAGTAAACCTACATTTCACAAATAACTACAGGGAATTATGCAGTCTTGTCTCTGGAAATTTTTCATATTCAGCGAACAATAGGTGCTCCCCATTCTGATCACTGAGTCCTAAGAATGTGAGAAAGTCTAATGAAAAACTACTCTGTAGATTAAACAGCTAACTGAAGAGCTACTTGCTTGTCTGATTGACACTTATTTATAAATTCTGAATATAGGTATTATATATAAAAAAAAAAACAAAGCAATCACTGTTGGATCAGACTTACCTAGTTAGGGAAATCAAAACAGTATTTGGAGGCACGGAAAAATAAAATCTTAGGTCAGATTTCTAACCTGGATTGTAATCTAACAAACCATTTAAACAAACCATTTTTCCCCAGCTCTATTTCCTGTCATGTTATGAGTAGACTGAATTAGAATCCAACGTTTTTGGAATCAGGGATGCTTTTCTTGGGAAAATGTGCATATAAAATTTTGTGTGTTGTTCAGGGGGCTCATGGGCCCCTTTAAGTCTGTAGGGATTTCTAGACTTTTATTAGAACCCCTGAATTACCTGATATCTTGCATTTCATTTCATTTCAGTTTATGAATGAAAGAATTATACATATTCTTTCTACATGTAAAGAAATGTTATAGATATAACCTTTTTTTTTTTTAAAGATTTATTTATTTACTTATTCATACAAGATTGATTGATTGATTGATTGATTTATACAAGCACTGGGTACAGCCAGAAGCACGGGAGGGTGAAAGAATTCACCGGAGCCAGAGCGGGGAGCAGAGCAGGCAGAAGGACTGAAGTACACTGCTGAGGGGAGCAGCGGGCGGCAGGAGAGGTCTGCGCGCCATGTGGGACCCTCCTCCAGTGGCCGGGGAGCAGCTGGGAAACGAACCAGTGCTGCAGAGGCTGCGGGCAGCTTCGCAACCTAGCGCTCAACCGCTGCGCCACCGGGGAGGCCCTAGATATAACCTTTTGATGTGAACTTTGGATGGATCAGTGATGCTCAAATCACATTTGCTCCGCCTGCTGGGATATATGCCGGATATAGGTTAAATTAAATTGCCAAGGTTTCTGAAGAGGTAGCTGTGGAGCTGGGAATAGAGCAGTTGAACTTGGAATTGATAGATCTACCTAATTTGGAAACTATCTTAACCTCTTGAGCTTCAGTTTTTCCTATTGTGAAAAATATTGTCTGTGTCATGTGACTCCATGGCATTTGTAGGGTAAATGAATTAATCAGACTTTTTGCACCATTAGCCCCTGTGGCTTTATCACCTGTGGAATTGATCATGTTAATGAAGAAGGTGCATGGGCATAGGGCACATGTGGAGTAAGGATGTGCATACATGTGCAAGTATGCACACCTGAGCCAGGAGCTGGGGATGAAAGCTTCAGCGGTGGCAGCAGTGAGGATGAGTGGCATGACTACAGACTTGTGGTCGCATGAGACCACAAGAGGACATGTGAATGAGAAAAACACCAGAGAGCTCATAGAAAGAACATAAAGATTCTTGCATGGAGGAGTGGGCGGGAGGCTCAGTTTCCTGCCTGCCTCCTTGCCTGCCAGCCTCCCTGCCCGGTGTGCCCATGTTCCTGGTTCCCTGTGAGATCATTGAAGCCGGAACAACCCACTGAGGAATCCGGGACTCTCCTTTATCCGTCTGCCCAAATCAATAAAGAACCTGCCCTGTGTCCGCTGGCACTAGAGCATTAAAATAAAATAAGCAACAAAAAGTTTTCTCAGTAAATCAAATAATAAATGGGAATGTGCCTGTCTCTAATTTAAATCAATGACTAGAGGGTCATGTCTGGGTGACTGTGGGTTCTTAAGTTCTGCAGATCTGGCAATCCCAAAGTCGTGCAGTGTCGCTGGTGGGGAAAGTTTCTCAGGAGGTTCTGCAGGAGCCCCTGCACAAGTGGTGGGAAGCCACAGGCCCTGGAGAGGACACCCGAAAGAAGGAGATAAACTTAAATATTGATATTTCTAGGGAGGAATTTGGGTTTAAACTTTTGGAAAATTAGAGGTAATGTTTGAGCCTCTGCTTTTCAAAGGGTGACATAAGCAGCAGAGTGTTTTGATGAAGCAAATCTCTATCCAACAAATTTAATATCTAATGTTAGCATATACTAACACCAAAGTTCATTAATTAAAGATGCACTTGGGAATCATTTAAGATCATTTACTTTTTTGTTCACTCACTCTTATTTGGTTACTGGTGGGTCTAAGTGTTTTTGAGAGAAGTGTATCTCATTTTCATATTTGAAAATATAGTGGGTTCAATGGCTGTTTGGGTTGTCTGGACACCTTGATTCCTTTACTTCTGTTGTCTTCATTTCTCTTGCAGGACTTGTGTCTAATGCCTTTGTGCTGGAAGAATTAAGTCTGTTTTTCTCATTTGGAAGTTTAAATTTTTGCATATTTTAGATCATTATGAAACTCCAATCTTGTTAATATTTGGTAAGTGATTCATCTGTTTTCCTTTTCTTTTTTTCAGATTGAAGAATTTCGGAGGCTGAGGACGCATGTTAAGGGAGCAGAACTGGTGGAAGGCTGTGATGGAATATTGGGAGACAATTTTAGACCCACTCAGCCACTTAGTGACAGAGTCATCAGAGCTGCATTTCAGTAGCCAAAGAGAACAAAAATAAGTCTGTCTTCACCTTGGTATGTGAAGAGTAAGGTACACAGTTATGTAAATGCATCATGTCAAAGTGACTTTCATGGTGATCCTAATAATTTAGCAGTATGAATTTACTTTATTTTTATATAATTTATGACATTTTCAATCCCTGTTACTTACAAAGTCAGTTATATTTTGTATTTCATGCAGTGCTGAAAAAAATCTATAATCCTTATGTTTTCTCACCAGAGCAGCCTTTTATTCTATGTTTTGCTCTAATGTTGACTTTCATAAGAAAGGTGTCCTGAGTCAGAGAAGCAGTAATATGTAGATACTTCTTTAGTACTTTGTTGAACCTTGCAGAGGAGAATAAAGGATGAGGCTAGAACTTGGGGTGAACCTCAACGTTGATTCTCATTGTCTAATGCAGACTTACTCATTTATCGGGGTAGGTGAGGGTAGATCTGGCATGAGTTATAATACTAGGGAAGAACTTTCACCTGATGAAGGAGCTCTCTTTAATTATGCAAATATGATAAGCTTTTTTAGTCATTGAAACACAATCTATACATTTAACATATTGAGTTCAATATAGGTATTTCTTACCCTGAAGAAGCTAACAAAGTAAAACATCATAGACATGGAAGAGAGAAAATATATGTAATAACTATATTCCATTATTTCTTTAGGTTGTAAATTGCAAGGCATGCATACATAGGTCAGTGTACTTTGCTGACAGATCACTGTTTCCCCAAGGGGAAAGCATCCATTGGAATAGTTCCCTAAGTGAGCAGGACAGATAGATGTTTAACAGACCATTGTGAGAATGTACTCTACACTGACTAGTAGTGCAGTGGACTGGGGAGTTCACATGAATAGAAATCTTTGGCCTCAAGGAGCTCATAGTCTCATGAGCTACATAGTAGAAATTGTAGGAGTGACCATTTTGTCCTGTGTTCCAACACATTTTTCTTGCCTCTGTTATTACTCTATGTGCCCAATACTTCAGTGAGTCTGTCTTTTCTCTTTTGTGAATGTACTTTGTGCACACAGTCTTTACCTCCCTTCCTTTTGCTTACTGAAATTCTAGCTCTCCTACAACCTAGCTCAAATACCCAGTATGAACTTTCTGCTTCTCACGCACAGTGTAATTGTCATTTCATATTTTCTTCCATAATATTTGTGTATTATTTTCTTCGTTAGGGAGAAATCTTTATTAGAATATTTTAAGCTTCCTAAGGATTGAAACATGTTTATTTTACTTTGAATCCTCTGTGATCCATAATACTTTGTGTCATAGAGCTCTTCAGACACATTAGAAATTCCTTAAATCTATGCAAGTTGTATTTCAACCAGCCCCATTCCAGTCATTTTTCCATTCTCAGTTTCTAAGTTAGCCAGTGCATTCCATCCTCCTAATTTTGAATCTAATGAGGGCTAGGTAAAGATGACTTTTATTGAAATGAGAAGAAACTTTCAGTAAGTCATATATAGTAGTAGGGCAGAATACAACAGTGTTTAAGAATCATAATGGATGACTTAAATGATTAAAATAATGCTCATTTCGAAATTATTATTGAACACCTACTGTGTGATTGTTGCTGAATTTGCTGAATTTCTTAAGTAAGAGGAACACATGTGTTCTCTGCCCTCATAAAAATTTTGAGTCTGATGTGAGGAGCCTGATAATGGAAACATAAACACTTCAAAAATACACAATTAAAAATTATAATAAATTCCATGAGCGAGAGGACAAAGAAATGCAGTGAAGGAGATTTCAGAGAGAGGGAATATCTTTTGGGAAGGTTGTGAGGGGCCGTTCCCAGTGAAGGAGATAAGAATTTGATGCATTGAGATCCCTGAAAGAAGATCCCGTGATTCTATGTATAGAGATTAAAGGGGAAGTTTAGGCAGTGCCATATCTTAGGGCCTTGCCAGCCACAGTAAACATCCGTATTTCACTGTCGTTGTGTAGAGGACCTATAAAGACATACTCAGGGCTGAGTATTGTTTTCAGTAGATCATGGTTGCTGGAGAATGAGTAGATTGGATTATAGTGAGCCAGGGCAGGAGTCGACAGTTTAGAAGTCTGCTTGGTAGCCAAGGAGAAAGACATGGAGCTCAGACATGAGAATAAGAGCAATGGGGCTGGAGAGAAGTTATTATGTGTGATGCAGATGCTGAAAGTGATATCTGGTGATAAGTTAGATGAGGGTGGAAGAAAATAGAAATATCAAGGTAACGTCTGGGTTTGGGACTTTAGTAGGTGTGGATGGAGTATCATTGAGTGTGACATAGGAAAGGTGGAGAGGCTCTGTTGTGGATGGAAAGTTAAAGAGCTGAGTTGCAGCATGTTGAATAAGAGAGATCTGTCCATTACAATCATACTCATAATAAAGGTTCATAAAGGTAACTAGAATTTTGAGAGTAGAGATCGGAAAATTTATAGATTTATAGATCGGTCATTTATAGATTTAGTGTTTCTGCTACTTGCTCATTGTTTAAGGACGAATGAAGTAGCAGCTAGAAGAGGCAAGGGCAGCAGAGAAGATGGGAGATTGGAGCAGGGTGGAAGGTGGAGGATAGACTGTCCTGAGCTATAGTAAGAGGGACAGGCAGTGAGGCACCATGAGTTTTGGTGAACATGAATTTATCACTTTCTACAGTGCAGGTTTAGTATGCTCTCTGTCACTACCAGACACTGTGAATCACACTTTATGAAATAAGATTATTGCTTTGAATTTTTGATCCATATCTGATCCTAGACCAGAGTTGCCTCTCTACATGTCTAAATAGCTATCACTGCTTTATCTCTCTTTTTTTAATGCACACAGACTGAAATGTTTTTATGAGATCATATATATTTTAGATGCTCCATATTTATTATATATAGGAGAATAGTATGTAATTTTCAAAGTCCTAAATTAACTATAATTTAGGTATTTTTAAAAAGAGGATGGATATGTGTCCTTATCTTTGTGGCTGAGATTACTTAAAAGGGGTCATTTTCCCCCAAATTCCTACAAATGATGAGAAATTCTTTCAGAGGACTCATTCTGGCTTCATTCATTTATGAATACATTTTTGATCCTTTTATCTTGAAATATGTAATACAAATCTAGGCATAGTTCTACATGAAAATTATATTGGGAAATCAAGCTTATGAATGTGTGCTTTTTATTTTATATTTAATAATGCCCTAAGGCAGGTAATTCAAATTTTTATTAAAGTGAAATTATTTGACAGTCAGGCTTTGAATTTAATGCATGAATGTTTCATTTAAGCTCTTGCAACTGAAAAGGAAAAAAAAATTCTGGTAGTCTTCTAAAAATGTTTAAAATAATTCAGATTTATTTTAGCTATGTTTTACTAAAATAATTTTAATTTTTGGACTTAAAATTACATCTTTTACATGACATGTCTAGACATCTGGATGGCTATGATAACCAAGACTTATTATTTCCATGAATAATCTGTGACTTTTTATATTACCATTTGAAGTGTGAACTATGGTTTTGTACTTGTTTAAAAAATTAGCACATTACTCATCCAGGTGCTGAAATTCTTTAGTTCAGCCATGCTAGTTCAGATTTCTGGGAGCCAAATGACATTAAATGATCCTTTACGCATTAAGCTTTCTTTATGATGTAGGAGAATCAAATCTTAGAAACACCAAATAAAAAATAAGACAAAATTTTAGTTCCAGTTTACTTGTTGCCCTTGAGATCTTAACATTGGTACTAATCTTCCAATAAAATGATTGTTTGTCTACTTGCTTCATTATATATTAGCCCATTAAAAAAAAATGATTCTGACTATTCCAAGACTTGTCTATTTCCCCTGTGACTCATATTGTTGAACTACACACAACTATAAATATAATCATAATTATTTACTTTGTTTAAAAACCAATGTTGCAAACCTCTTGAGATAGTTTCCTCTTTTTACTCCTTAGAAAGGAAAAATACATGCCTCAAATAAATTAGGAATGAAAACAGAAAAAAGTGAGGGAGAAAATAGAGGGATTATTAAGCAAGCCTCTCTGAACAATCCCCTTGTCAAATTTGTCCTTATTTTTCTTTCTGGATCTTTGTAGTCATCTTTCTCTGTTGGACTTCCACACACACACTTTTGCAATTAATGATGGTGTCTTCTTAACTTTAATAAAGCTATAGCTATCAGTTTCATACCAATTTTTATAATCTAAAAGAGTTATAAAAGGTTAAAAGATCATAAAGCATTATAGGAAAGGAGGGCATTACATGGGGGAAAAGAGAGAATCTCAACTCTGAATGAGCAAGTAGGTAAAAGCTATTATCCTGACAGGTAAGTGCAAGGCTCAAAGCCATATTTTTCAGTCAATAGAATTTGCTCTCTACTCACACTAATAATTTAACATGATGCGCAGCATTAAGGTGAGAAATGAGAGGTCAGTAGATACAGCTGTTTTCTATTTACTGTATCATATAAAAAATATAATGGATTTCCTAAATGGTTTTAAAGTGATTTGAGGAAAATGCCAAAACCCCTAGGATGTTCAACATATGTATTATGTTTTGATTATGTGATATAAAATTATTGTTAATCCAAGAATGAAAAATGTCAATGCTGTATAGGTTTGTCTGCAAGATGGCTGAAAAAGGAAAATAAGTGCCTTCAAATCTGTCCTTTTATCCTCTTTATGTTTAAGAAACATCAGTTTATTATGGATAAAGATTCTTGAATGATTTAGTTTCCCCCCATAAATTAAAGTAGAACTGTGTTTACAAAGAAGAAAAGAGAACAGTTTGCAGTCATTAACCAATATATTGAACATTAATGTACTCTGATACCTTCAATATAGTAGATTTCATGATTTTAAATCATGAAGCCCACTGAGACCAGGTTAAACATGTTTTATTATGTATTGTAGCTCATGGATGCTCATTTTTGTTAATTTCCTCAAATGAATTATTTAGTTTTATTTTTCTAATTTGAGACTTCTTAGGAACACCTTTTTCATAAAGAATCAGTCATTTAAATTTGTCCTTAATTTTCTATAATC